TTTACTGTTAGTGATTTTTATTTTCATGTCCTTTTGATCCCAAAAGTTACTTGATATGATTTTGATCCTCCTAATTTTGCTAAGATTTGTTTTGTGGCCTAACATATGGCCTATCCTAGAGAGTTTTCCATGTGTGTTTGAGAAGAATGTTCTATAAATGTTGTAAGGTTCATTTGGTCTGTAGAGTAGGTCAAATCCCATGTTTCTTTTTTGATTCTTCTGATCTGCTCATTGTGGGAAGTGAGATATTGGGATCCCCTTCTATTGTAGTATTGTAGTCTATCTGATCCTTTAATAATTGCTTTATGTATTTAGGTGTTCTAATGTTCAGTACATGTGTATTTATAATTTTTGTGTCTTCTTGGTGAATTAGTCACATTGTCATTATGTAATGACTTTTGTTATCTTATGATTTTTGATTTAAAGTCTATGTTGGCTGAATATAACTATCTCTGCTCTCTTTTCATTTCTATTTGTGTGAGATATCATTTTTCCTTTTTAGTGGTACTGGGGTTTGAATTCAGGGGCTTGTACTTGTTAAGCAAGTGCTCTACCACTTGAAGCATACTCCCAATCCTGTTCATTTTAGGTTATTTTTAAAGTAACTTCTTATACTTTTTTTTTCCTTAACTGACCTGAGACTGTGATCCTTCTACCTATTCTTTCTGCGTAGCTTTTACAGGCATGAAACACCATAACTGGCTTGTTTGTTTATATGGGATCTTGCTAACATTTTGTCCAGGATGGCCTTAAACCATGATCTTCCCAATCTCTATCTCTTGAGTGGCTAGGATTACAAGTGTGAGCCACCATGCCTGGCTTGTGGGATATCTTTGTCTCTTCACTTTCTTTTCTTTTTTTAAAAGACAGATCTTACTCTGTAGCCCAGGCTGATATCAAGCTTACAATTCTCTGCTTCAGCCTCTGAATGCTGGGATTGCAGGTGTACACTACCACCTCCAGCTCAGCCCTCACACATTTTTGATCTGTGTCTATCCCCACTAGCAAAGTAAGTTTCTTGGAGGCAGCATATGATTGGGACATTTTAAAAAAATCCACTCAACCCTCTATGCCTATATATAAGGGAATTCAATCATGTATATTCTAGGTAATTATTGAAAGGTAAGGGCATGCTAGTGTCATTTTCCAGTTTATGTTAATTTGTTGTGTTCTTCTCATTTTATTTTCTTCTTCATTTGCTGTCTTCCTTTGTGGTTTGATGTTTTTCCATGTGGTGTGCTTTGAATCCTTTCTTTTTATATTACATATAATTAGTATGTGTTTTTTTTTCTTTGTGGTACCATGAGTTTTAAATGAAATACCTTATCCTTATAACAAGCTACAGCAAGTTGATAACAGCTTTCTTTGAACTGCACACGAAACTGCATCTTCACTTCCCCTCCCTTGACTATTATGTGTTTGATGCCAACATTTACATTTGTTTTTGTAATTGTATCTCTTAAAATTTGTACTATCTCTAGTTATTTACAATAATTTTGTCCTTCAACCTTCTAGTAGGGATAAAAATGCTCTTATATCACCCTTTTATAGTATTAGAGAGTTCTAAGTATGACTATGTGTTACTTATCCATTTACTTTCATACTTTTGTTACTAGTTAGCAGCCTTTAATTTAGTGTTAAGAACTCCCTTTAATGATTCTTGTCAAGCACCTGGTGGTAAACTCCCTTAGCTTTACTTTCTTAGGGAAAGTCTTTATTTCTCCCTCATTTCTGAAGGACAGTTTTTCTGGGTGAAGTGTTTTTGATTAGCATTGTTTTTTCTTTATTGTTTTGGATGTATCATTCTACTCTCCCCTGGCTTTCAGGGTTTCTGCTGAGAAATCCACTGAAAGTCATATTGGGGTTTCCTTAAATGTGATGTTTCTTATCTCTTGATGCTTTTAGTATTTCTTCTTTCTTCCTTCCTTCTTTCCCTTCTTTCTTTCTGTTAATTTGATTATAGTGTGTCTTGATGAACTACTCTTTGACTGAAATTGATTGGCAGTACCTTAGCTTCCTGTATATGGATGTGGTCTTTGCTCACATCTTGGGAAGTTTTCATCTGTATTTCCACAAACATGTTTTACAGGCTTTTTCCCCAACTCTGTTCACCTTGAGGATTCCTATTATGTGAAGGTTAGTTTGCTTCGTGATTTCTATAATCTCTATAGGGCTTCTTCATTCTTTTCTATTCTTTTTTCCACTTTTTGCTGCCATAGTTGGATAATTTCAAATGTATTTGAGATTGCTGATTTTTTTCAGTCCTTGATCTCTCTGATAAGCTATCTGCTTTAGCTGCCATCACAATAAGCTTTTGTGTTCTACAAATTGACCTGATGATTTTTCTTCCTTCCTTCCTTCCTTTGTTCATTTGTTCATTTGTTCGTTCCTTCCTTCCTTCTTTCAACAATTCCAGGGCATCAATGGTTCCTTACACTGACTGAATTCACTGTGAACCTCTTTACAGAGTCTTTGAGGCTTGCTTTTACTGACTCTTCTGCTTAATCAAGTCTGCCATTAAATATCTCTATTGAATGCTTTAGTTCAGTTATTGTATTTTTGTGTCTGGAATTTCTATTTTTATTGTTTATATTTTGTGCCGACCTTCTCATTTTGTTTACAAATTGTTTTTCATGTTTTTTTTTTAATTAGCCTGTGATTTACTTTCAGATTCATTTTTCCTGCAGTTCCCTGGGCTTCTTTGAGATGATTATTTCATATTCTCTTCCAGTCATCTTGTAAGTCTCCATTTTTTATGCTTCTATTACTGGAGTGTAACTATAACTGTTACTGCATTTTCAATAGCATTTGTTTCCTGATCTGTTGACCTCATCATTCCTGAATAACAACTGTCTTAGTCACCTTTTTTCATTATAACATAATGCTGGAGGCAGCTTGGAGCTTGGGGGCTGCAGGGGTATGGCACAGGCATCAGCTTTGTTCTTGGTTGCATTAGATTGTGGTGGATAGCAATGGTAGGAGCACATGAGGTAGCTATCCAGTGACTTCACCCTAAATGAGAATTATTTTTAAAAAGAAAACCATCTCCCAGCAGCACCACCATAGGGACCAAGCCTTTAATCATAGTAGATTTTTGGTGGGCACAAAACATGTTCAAACAATAGCAATAATAAAACCTATATTTAAAAGGTTTTCTGTAGCACAACAGTTTCTTATTCCTTTCCAAGTAATGCTGTGCATCTAGTACATTTGATGAAGCTGAATGAAGTTTATTTTCCACAAGAATAGAAGATATATTTATTGGCTGGGGGTACTAGTTGACAGACACTGTTCTATGCACTGGGGATATAGTAATGCATAAAATGTTCCTGCTCTTACAAATCTTACATTCTAATGAGCACAGATAATTCACAAATAAATGTAGACTCTTTCAGATGCCATGAAGAAAAATAAACCAGGATAGGAGGGTATGGGCTAAAAAGGAATATATTTTTATATGGAGTGTTGAGGGAATTGACATTTGAGTAGAGGCTGCAATGAATAATGAGGTTAGATTGTATGAAAAATTGAAATTGGCTAAGTAGTTGCATTTGGAGGAAGACAGTTTGGGTTAGCATCTAGGACATTTCAGAAGATCCAAGAATGTTTTAGAGTGACTACTCTCCTCCCCATCACCTTTGTTGAGGAGAAAGTAAAAGAAGAAAGATAAAAGAGATAAAAGAAAGAAAAAAGAATACAGGAGAAATAATAAGAAGAAAAAAGAAAGAAGAGGAGGAGGAAGAAAAAGAGGAGCAGTAAGAACAATGAAGGAGGAGGAGGAGAATGAGGAGGACAAATAGGAATATACAGTAAATTTTGGCTTTGGCCTCACGATTTGGCCAAAAAATATTATTTGGCTTCAGAAACTTGAAGCCTCTGTAAATAAGCCTGAATAGCCAAATGTCTCCTTCAGGATCATTGCTTCCATCCTAGAAACTGGGTGAGGCCAATAATTCTGTGACCTTGCAGGTTAGTTTTATGTCTAATCAGCATAACTATGTCAGCTGTACAAAGAAAAGTTTCATGTGTTGTTTTTAATATCTGACTATGCACTTTTAAGTATGGATAAGAATTTGTAGATGAAACTGAGAGTGGAAAAAAATTTTGTGCTTCATATGTTCGAATTGAACAAGTCAGTCGAAGCATAAATATATGCATTTCTTTCTTTGGGAGTAACATGTACAAAGATGGATAATTAAAATCATGAGTGTTCTATACAAAAGTTATTATGAAGACATTGATAATAGTTTAGTAAGTATGGAAATAGAATAATATTAATAGGACTATTAAGACAGTATATTAGCAAAATTAGTTCAGTAAGAATATTAAATTCTTTATGAGCTAATCAATGTTTATAAAGCAATCACATAAAGAATGTTAAATATCAAATTATATTAATTTAATCTTCAGTTTGTTTTAGGGACTAGCATTTATAACATCAAACAAATAAACTTTATGGTATGTATTTAATGTTTACTTATTTGGTTCTATTGAGGCCATAGGTTTTCAAGAAAGTCTCATTTTCACTTGAGAATATCTGGAATATTTTACATCTGAGGAGTAGATCTTAAAGGCAGAACATTACATTGCTAACCTTAACTGATTAGGAAAAGGGAAAAATTTTAAATCATATATAATAGCATCCATAATAAATCTTAGCTTCAAAGTCAAAAAATTAAGATAATAAAAAGAAAAAAGCATTAGAAAAGTACTATCTGCTTTGCTGACCTAAATTGGAAATGAAGGTGTAGCAAGAAATATATATATTATCACAGCTCATGGAGCCTTTGATGACTGATGGTGCTTACAGTCTATTTTATCTGCTCTAACATGCAGACATTAAAAATTATAGTTATTAAACTTTTAATAATAAAATGTAACAGTATTCACTTTTAAAGATAAAATTTTAGATTTATTGTTACTTCAGAAGTTTAATTTATAAAGGGTACTATTGGACTTTGATCACATTTGAATAATATTTTTTAAAAAGTCTTCCCATTCAACTAAAAGTTGTACTTTGTACTCTTCTCATTGTTATTGTTGTTATCATTTTGCTGCTAGATGTTGAAGAGTTTGTTTCCTTGTTGAGAACAGCAGTAAAATGTGTTACTTTGTGTTAACTTTCAGTATTGACTAGGTCTCTGTGCTGTGTTTCTTGGCCAGGGAACAGGAAGTATTTATTGCTTGTAGCCTGTTGCATAAAACAAAAATGTAATATAATAGCTAAACTCTCCCCTTAGCCCCACAAGTGGTTTGTAGAAGTAGCCTAAGAATATCAAATTCTGAATGTTCTGCTTAACTCAGTCTTTCTTTAGATTTGAAGTGCATATTTCAAACATTGATTAGAGGAGAAAAGGAAGCATGTCCAAATGTTTCAGGAGATGATTGAGGTTAGACGTAAAGAACATAATTCTGATTATGAAGTGCCAGAGGAACTAAAGAGAAATGATTGATGCTCTGCTTAGACCACACATGACTTAAAGCATTTATTTCAAACCCTTGAAAGAACACTACTTCTCTTATAAATGTGCACACAGAGTACTGGCAAATGATCCCAATGAGGAAAGTAGGAGGTGTGAAAATCTTAATTTTTAAATAGCAAAGTTCCTACCTGGGTATTGTCAATAACTTTCAGAAATTCCAGAGGGAATAACAATTAGAACAACACAAGGAAAAGAGCAATTAACAGAATAAGAAGAGCAAGGAGCTTGAGCAAATGTGAAGATAAAGAAGGCTTCCAGACACCTCCAACAACTCGTGTCTTCAGAGGTTTCAATGTCCGGTCCCACTGGGTCAGGATGGCATGTCTGGCTCCTGACCACTTCCCTGGGCCTGACAGCCGAAACTGGTAGGGGCTGCAAGGGCCAAAGAAAACTTCGATGGCCAACTTGGGATCTGTGAGAAACAGCCATGGAATGTTGGGCTTTGCCCCGATAAAGGCGGCCACTTCATCCATGTAGACAATGTAGTCTGTCTGTATAGTCTCGCTTTTACCAAACCTAGAGGTGGGAAAGAAAACACCATCATGGTTCCAGACTTTGTTTAGCAATTAGAACCAGCAAGCACCTCACATCTTTCTATCAGTGGAAGTCTGTGTCAGACTGCTAGCTTAGTAGGGAGAATATTGCTTGTTTATCCTGTACTCTGCACTTTTGTCCAAGAAATTTCATATTGATCTCATTTAGAAATTCCCCAACACTGCAGTACAATTAAGAAGAGCATTTTTATCCCGGTTAACAAATGATAAAATTGTCCCTTGCTCAAGAGAAGACACTCACTCATGGCCATTGAGCTAATTAGTAGTTTTCCATATTCATTCTAAAATTGCTGAGTTATTTTTATTATGGGCATCTCTTAGAAATATCATGAACTCTTTGCCCAGGCTGGCTTCGAACCATGATCCTCCTGATCTCTGTCTCCTGAACAGCTAGGATGACAGGCATGAGCCACCAGCACCCAGTGTGAAGTATCATTATAGGTTAGATAATAGAATTTCACATTTATGTGCTCCAAAATTCCTTTGATTTGTAGTTGTTTCTGAGTCTCCTTTCTGTGATCTGTTGCAGGAGACAAGGACTCTCAAGTACCCTATTTCACTCTGCATCTTACACTTAACATGACTTAATGTACTCTTAGGCACAAAGTAGATCTTCACTAATATTTCTCGAGTGGATGTATTTGGGTCATAGCTGACACACTAATGAATTAATTTAAGATCATTTAAGACAAAAACAGTTCCAGGTATTCACAAATTCTGATGTTTCTATGGAAATCCTAAACCTCTTACCATTTAAGTTTTTTCCCCATTTTCTCATCAATATCATCCAGCATGGCTTTCACAGGAGGCAAAGTACAAGTTCCTGAAAAAGAGAGAAGGACATGATAATAATTAAATGAATCTGGCATAGGAATAGCCAGCCATTTTTCCTTTTTGGTAAGTTATTAATCACATTAGTATTTCTAATATTTTTGCTACTGTCCAGAAAATGACAAATGCTGTCTTGAGCAAATGAACAGGTGATCATTTTGAGACAGAATATAATTCATTCTCAGTTTTCTTAGAGCAGATACTTGTCACAATAATTAAAAAACATTTCATGATTAGCTTTGAATCTTCTCTTAAACTGGCTGCCAGATATCAGTTTCAGGGATTATATTTTAATCTTTCAGTCATATTTTAAAGAAAGTCAACTAATAAATTACAGCCAATCAGAGGTGAATTAGCAACATATTTTGAATATTTGAGAAAAAACTTTATAGAAAATGATTTTGCTTTTCCAGAGAAGGGAATTTCCAGCAGCTAAGATAAAGAATTTAGTGAGGCCCCATGTCCCTCTATGGAGAGGCAACAGTTCTTGAATATGACTGATGTTGTGGACTGTCTGCAAGTCACCAAAGACATACTGAAAAGAGACAAGATATGATTTGAGGCTGCCCAGGATTTTATGCTCATATAGGTTTACTGAGTTCTCTGAAACTAGACTAAAATATGTTTGCATGCTCAGAGACACTTCAAATTTAGGATGATTTCTTTAGCATTCTTGGAATTACTTTGAGATTAGAATTTATAGCCAAATTGTGATTGCTCAGCCTCTACATGACTTGCTTACTTCCCCATTCCAGCAATCCTCACAGGTAGGGTCACTGAACAGCCTTTGTAGATATGGCCTGGCTCCAGACCTTGGTGCCTATCTTGTCCTTGGGTAGAAGAAGAGATTGGGAAGAAAGACTGTGTTTAATATCCTGCCAGCTACTTCCATTGGGTTGCTTGTAACAGGCCCTTCTATCCTGATACTTGATTCTCCAAAACCAGGTCGTTTGCTCTATATCATCTCATTTCCCCTCCATGTGAGATTTTGCCTTGTATATCAATTTCCTGTCTCCTTTTTTTGAGTCCAAGTTACAACTCTTGTCATAGAGAACAAGTATTCTATACTTCCTTTAATCTTAGTCTCCCTGAGCCCTAAGTGGAGCCCCGAGTGGAATCTCATGCCATCCCCTTGCTGGCTGTTGCATCATTGGAGGAGCATTGCCCTCTGAGGCAGCAATTCATCTCTACCTGGGTAGAAGGAAGTAAAGGAGATTCAGGAGATCACTGATGTATAGGACCATTACTGATGTGGATGGTAGGCTGGTGACCCAGTATATATAGTGGCAGGTTTTATGCTCATACATAAAAAGAAGAATATTTAAGCCTCAGAAAGTCAGGATAGGACTTGGAAGCCTTTGATACAACTTCATAAGGAACCTGCTGAGGCTCCCTCATCCAGAAGTTTTAAAACCTAAGGTTCAACTAAACGTTGTGCAATAAACTTTGACATCTCTCATTTTTCTTTAATCACAGCTTTAGCTTGTTTTACCATTTGCATCTTCCCATAACTGCACAACTTCATTCAAACATTATTGTGATGCTGGGCTCAGTGGCTCAGGCCAGTAATCCTAGGTACTTAAGAGGCTGAGATTGAGAGGGTCATAGTTGGAGGTTATACTGGGCAAGAAGATCTTGAGACCCCATTTCAACCAACAGCTGAGTGTGGTGGCATGTGCCTGTCATTTCAGCTACAGTGGGAAGTGTAAAATAGTATGTTCATGGTCCAGGCCTGCTTGTGCAAAAAGTGAGACCCTACCTTAAACTTAACTAGAGCAAAAAGGGCTGGAGGCATGGCTCAAGTGGTAGAGTGCCTGCCTAGCAAGCATGAGCCCTGGGTTCAAACCTAGTAATGCCAAAAACAAACAAATAAAAATAACCCCACAAAACAAAGAAAACAACAAAACAAACAAAAAGTGTTACTGTGAATTGGATCCCAGCTCCTGCAGCTGGAGGATGCTGGCTGCCTTCCTTGCTTCACCCAAATCAAGTCTGCTGTTTCCTTTTTCTTTTTAAAGTATAGGAACTCAATACTCTTATACCTTTGAGACCGACCATCTACCACAGCTAGTACTTTCTGCTTCCAGTCTTTAACCATCATATCCAGTGAAGAAAATAGTAGCAAAGAAGCTACTGTCTTCTCAGAAAGCATATTTTCCATGACTGTAGATAGCTGAAGTTGGCTGGATACTGGTTTGGAAGCATCTTTCCATATTAAACTTTCCAGATACGTAATTCTATTCAGTTTTGAAATCATAATTTTACAACATTGTCATACACTTAACCTCAAAACTCTGGAGTTCTCAAGTCTGATGAATGAGCTTGGGTAATTGTCAGCTCTAAAGAATTATAAGTGACAAAAACTCTGCTGATAATATCTTACTATTGTATATGATAATCCAATGTGATTTATTTCAAGTTGCTTGTAAAAGAATATAGACTTATAGATTCTCAAAACAATCAGGACTATTGCTTTCATAACTCAAAAGCATTCTCATTAGTATCCATCAGTGAATTTCTTTGTCTCCTTACCCTTTATTACTTGTGCTGCCCAGCGGGCTTGAAGGTCAGTCGTGGGGATGGCAGCCCCAAGAGACTGGACAAGGCCAATCACTGCCAGCGTTGGCTTCTCTAGTTGAGGAGGGAAGATGCCTTTAAACAAGGTGACCTCATTATTTCTGCTTTTGATGATGGAGTCATCAAGGAAGGGGTAGGCATTGTCATAGCCTGTTGCAAAGATGACACAGTCGAGGGCCTCAAACACTGTCCCATCCTCAAATACAGCTGAGGTCTCTCTGAACTCCTTCACATTTGGCTTGATGGACACAGTGCCACACAGGATGCGAGCTGGGAGATCGTCATTGAACACAGGTTCTTTCCTCAGTGTTCTGTATGGACCATAGAGATAATCATTAAAACAGTAATATTTTTCCTTTGTCTTATCAGTCCATACACAAATTGTTAAGGAAGGAAAAAACTACCCAAGTTTTTTTCTGAGTCATGAAATATGATAATATAGTTGGAGAACAAAACTTATGTGAGGCAACATTGTGAGGTAAGAGAAGTTGCTCTTCTCCCTCTCCTCTCCCCTCCCCTCCCCTTATTTCCCCTCCCCTCCTCTCCCCTCCCCTGGTACTTGAATTTTTCTTTACTACCTATAGCCTATGAACCTTGACAAGATTAAGGTTTCTTAAATTCTCTTTGCCTCATTTTCCTCATCTAGAATGGCACTCACATTTATATCTACTTAGGTTATAGGGAGAGTTAAATAACATGAAGAATTTTGCAGTCTCTAGCACATGTGTAGTGCTAAAAAATTTTACCATTCTTAATAAAATATATTCCAAACTGATCATTGTAATATAAAGAAGTCCAAATAGGAGGAAGAAAGTGAAAGGCACAAAAGATTCATTTGGGATCTCATAAAGCAGTGAAGTGTGAGCCCCACGAAGACAATGGCCCAACTCAGTTGAGGGAGGGAGCAGCTAGGAGTTGAAAGAAGGCCAGAGGGAGGAGGGGGCCAGTTTGAAGCTTTGGTATCTGGAGGTCTGAAAAGAGAGATTTTGGCTATTTTTTTGCTTGGTAATATCTCTATCTGAATTTAGGGATGAACTTGAATAATGCTGAAGGAAAGGGCTGTTATTATCTGGTGACAAGAGCTGTTAGAGACACACAGGTAGATTCCACTGGTGAGGAAATTGAGCCAATGAGATTGGTTCGAATCCTAGTTGAATATTTTTTACCTTCCATTTATTTGAAAACCACTGCCAATCAGTCTTTCACCACCATCCCCACCACACTGAAATGGCTCTTGTTAAAGTCCCTGGAATGAACTGCCAGGTCCAATGGTCCACTGTCCCCACCTATAATTTTACTTGAGTTATTAGTAGTATTTGACATAGGTGATAGTTTCCCTTCTCTTAAAACACTGTCTTCATCTTGCTTCCAAAGCATCACTCTCTCTCAGTTCCTTTACTACCTCCCCACCATTCTTTCTCAGTGTTTCCTGCTGATGGTTTTTTTTTTCTCTGCCTGACTTCTAAACAGTGGTATAACCTAGGACTCAGTCCTCCGACTTTTTTCCTTCACTGTTTACTCTAATTCTTCAAGAGATGTCATCAAATTTAACTTAAGGTGCAAACCTCTTTTCTATCTTGTGTCTCACTGCTACTCAACATTTTTTCTACTTGAATGTATAATAGGCATTTAAATTTTGATTTGTGTAAAACGAAGCCTCAGTTCTTCCTGCAGGCTTCTATATCTCAGTAAATGCCAACTATTTTCTTCCTCAGATCAAAAGTCTTGACATTATTCTTGATCAGTTTCTTGCTCTCACATTCTTTATCCAGTCTAGCAGAAAGTCCTACTTGGGTCTGCCTCCAGAATCTGATCACTTCTGATGTCTCAGTGCTAATGATCCTATTTCAAGCTATCAACCTTTGTCATCTGGGTTTTTGGTAATACTCTCTCTCTCTCTCTTTTTTTTTTTTTTTTCGGTGGGAGGAACTGGGATTTGAACTAAAGACCTTATACTCGCTAAACAGGTGCTCTATCACTTAAACCACCTCTCCAGTTCTCAAGCTCTTTTGTGCCTTTTGTGTTATTTTTCAGGTAAGGTTTTGCTTTTTTTCGTGGAGCCAGCCTCAGACCACACTCCTTTTACCTATGAATCCACATTGCTATGATCACAGGTATGCCTTACCATGACTGACCTATTGATTGAAATGGGGTCTTGCTAACTTTTTGCCCTTGTTGGCCTCAAACTGTTGATCTTCCTGATCTCTCCCTCCCAAGTAACTGGGATTACAGGTGTGGGCCACTATACTCAGCTGACAACACTTTAATTAGTCCTGTTACTTCTACAGGTCCCCTGACTCCTTATGTTGAATGTGACCATAGCTGCTACAGTGAACTCCAGTGTTAACTTAAATCTTGTCACTTATATGTCTGTGGCTTCCCATTGCTTTCAGAGTAAAAGCCAGACTCCTCACAATGTCTACCAGATCCAGTACCATCTGGCTATTTTCATGTCTCTGGTTTCTCCCCTCCTGCTCTCCTCTTTCCTTTTCTCTGTGATGCTTGTCGATCATGTAGGTCATGACCCTGAAGAAGTGTGCTCTGGAAGACCTTTTCTAGATATCCTCATGGCTCATTTCCTCATCTCCTTCAGACTTTTGTTTGAAAGTCTTCTCCTTGATCACCACTCTGAGGACTCTATGGAAAACTGTCTTGATGATATTACCATCACCCTTGCCTGCTCTGTGTTCTCCACAGCTCACATCACCATATGCTTTTCTACCTTTTTTAATTGCCTGCTACTCAGAATTTCTTACTACCTACGCTCCATGAAGACAGGATTTCTGTTTTTTCTATTCATTGCTATATCCACAGGGCTTAATGCAGGACCTGGCACATAGGAATGCTTAATTTTTAATTATTGAGTTAATAATTCACTTTGACAGAATAAGTTTGTTTTTTTTCACACTATATCAAAGGGATTTCTTATTATTTGATGGTCTTGGGGGAGTTATAGGAGAAAGTGAGAAGGAAACCAAAGAGGCAAGACTTGTGTCTATGACTTGTTTAGTGAGAGGGATCCATTAAGGGGAGCGTGATCAAATGCAGCACAGGAAAAGTTTTCTTGCTTTGCTCAATTTTGCATTAAATGTGAGGCATCAGACAGAGCAAATGGCTAAAGAACAAGGGGCTCTGTAATCAGCAGATCTTGCTTTGTTTTGAATGCTGCTTTTACTTTTTAGATGTGAGGCTTAGGTACAAGTTATTAACTATATTGAAGCAAAGTTTTCTAAAATAAGGATACTAATAATTGTTGTGATGAGATATGTGTTAGAACCTTAGCAGATACTGAGTAGGACTCTGACATGTTTACTACTTTTACTGTGGGAACTAATTGCTGAAGTATTATGTAACTTTCCATCTGTGCAAATCTGGTAAGGAGAATGTGTGGAAATCACTCCTGATATTTGTAGTTCTTTATCCCTTGATATATGATATGTGATTACTATACTAATATTTTGATTTGCCTTGAGCTTACAACACATGTGAAGGGTTGTTGGCATTGAAATGATAGCCAACAGGCAGGTCACCTTTAACTCTATCTTACCCATTTAAAGGCATCAAGCCATAGTTCTCGTGCTTGAATCTTGCATTCATCTGCCTTATGTACCACCAGTTAGAGATGGCTGTCGGTAAGTTGTTCTTGAGGAACGTTTGAAATCGAGTGATAAACATCATGTCCCAAGGAAAGCCATTATCCCAGACCCGGCTCATCACCCAAGATCCACTTCGGGAGCTGATGATTACCTTCAAAAACACCAATTTAGTCATGACCATTTGTTGTGGCTATTGCAATATTCTCTCCTTATCCCCTTTAGAAATGAATTTATTATTCTAGCTCTTCTGTTGCCTGCAGAAATCCCTCAGTTTCCCTCTTTGGAAGTTGCTTTGGTTTAAGAGATGAACCTCTCTTAAGGTCTTATACCCTTTCTGGGTACCATTGCATCCACTGATTGATTGGTTGAAGTGGGTATCATAGGCTCAGACCCTCACCTCAACTTGGGAAAACTCTAATGGAACCTTTACAGCTTCAGTGTAAGGCAAAAGGAAACTTTCTTCCTTTCCTTTAGTGGTGTCGATCCTGAGAGGATTGTCATATAAACGTCCTAAACTCTAATCTAAGTGTAGGCCAGACACTGTTGCACTGATGCAGGAAAATGTTCATATTTTTAGCAAATTTTCTCTGCTATAGGTGACTGATAACTGAGTTCTATTCATATTACTCTACATTCTTTTTTGACTATTGCTATCTATAAAGAAGCAGATATGATCTCAAAATATTTAGTTCAAAATGCTTGCTACCATCCTAAAAGAAGGCAAGAAATTTGGAATCAGAAAACCATAGGATCAAATCCCGTCTCTCCTACTTAGTAATGGTGTGACTTAGGAAGATTCTATTGCATCTCTAATGTTTTTACCTTACTTCTAAAATGGAGAGAATTGGTACCTACCACATCACATTTATGTGAGGTAATTCAATGTGATAAACTGTAAAATACAGCTAAGGTCACCTAGCATATGGTATGTGCTCGGTAAATGCCAGTTTTTTCTTCCTCTTCTGTTATGTTAACCCTTTACAGTGTAATAGTTCAGGTTTTCTTTTTAAAAATAATTTTATATATGTCGCTTGGAAGTTTTTCTTACAGGGGGAGCTAGATAGAAGAGACTGAAGGATCAGTTAAATTGAGAACCTTGAATATTGGTTTTTCTTGTCTCTAATTTTTCACATACAAATACAAATTTCTTAGCAACATGGTTTCATCATATCTTTCCTTAGTTCAACAAGCTTAAATGATTTAAGTTATTTATAGAGAAATCCAAACTCTTTAGCTTGTCATTAAAGTCCTTACAAAGATTATATAACCTAAATCCAATCTTTCATATCTCAATTCCTCTGATGACTCTGTTCTTAGAATCAGAAGACCTGAATTTCAGTTTGCTAATACTTCTCTGTCTCAAACGTTAATTTCCTCTATCACTTCCAAGAAGAGAGCTGGCATTTTGACTCTCAGTCATCTTTTCTGTAAAATGAGCATCATAAAACTTCACTGCCTTCTCATAATCAAAAGAGCTCATTTACATGGAGGTACTTGAGTACTGTAATGTATTATGCAAACTGTTATTATTAAGAACTTGAACCTTAGGAAGATGGTCAAACATGCAATGCTAGCTCCTCTCTCCATATTTTGCTCATGCCATGCCATTTTCCTCTTTTAAGAACAGCTCTGCTACCACTTCAACCATATGATAGTTGCTCTTTTTTTGTGAGGCCTCAAGCTCTGAATCATTTAGGCACTTAGTGCCTGACTCACTCATTTATCCTTTATTCCAATGCTAGCTTTTATACTGTTGTCATACATTCTGCTTAAACCTTGAGGTTATGTTTAATTTATGTGGCAGTGCATAACTTTCTTAACTAGATCTTACTACTTCTTAAGAAGCCATGCAGTCAGTTTCTTTGTATGCGTCCCTGCTGTCAGGTACAGTGTAGTGAACACATCAATAGGAATATGTTTTCATGCTATTTGTCCTGTCATGCTTTCCTTGCTTCATTGATTCTAATACCATGCTATAAAATTGGTCATATGTTGGGATGACCAGTGGACCTATTGGGATCACCTATGTTGGGGATATGTGATATTAACAGGAATAGCAGCTGGAAAGAAGATTCCTGTCTTTGAATTTCCAAAACTTGTAGGTGACATTTGTTCCAACTCATGCCCTAAAAAGCCTTGGATTATCCTTTTTTCGTCTTCTTTAACCACTCCTCATAGCATTATTTCCCAGACCTACTGAGTTCCAGCCAAGGTGCTTCCTCTTAGTCTCTTGAGACACTAAGCTTGTTGCATCATGACCTTCTGCCTGGAGACCTCTCCTGATACTGTTTCTTTCTCAACTTCTGGATCTCAGCTTACGTGTCAGCTCAAAAGGGTCTTTCCACTTCCCATCCTGAAATCACCTCTATAAATCATGCTGATGGAGTGCTGCTTTCTCCTCCTTCTTCTCCCTCCTCCTCCTTCTTCTTCTGACAGTACTGGGGATTGAACTCAAGGCCTTGAGTTTGCTAGGCAAGTGATCTACTACTTAAGTCATGTCCTGGTTCTTTTGCTTTCAGCTTATTTCTCTGATGGGGTCTTGCCCTTTTGCCTGGACTAGCCTCAGACCACAATCCTCCTACCTCTGATTTCTGCATAGCTAGAATTTCAGGTATGTGCCATTACACCTGACTTGTTTTGGGGATAAGGTCTTTTTAAACTTTTATGTGGGCTAACCTCAAACTATGGTCCTCTCATCTCTGCCTCCTAAGTAGTTGGGATTATAAGTGTGTGCTGCAATGCCCAGATTGTTATTTTCTTTTCTAGAACTTTTCACAATTATATTCTGCCCATTTGATCATTAAATTGTTCAACATCTATTTTCCTTACTAGACTCTGAGTTTCAGGTAAGGGTTATATCTGTTTTGTTCATCATTCTTTCTCCAACACCCATGCCAGTGCCTGACACATGGTAGGCTTTCAACAGACAATCATAGAATGAATGTATGCACAAATGAGTGAATATGTGGCTTTATGTCTCTATCACTTAAGATATGTTCAAACGGTGTAAGTCTAAGAAGCCCAAAAAGTAGGTTCCATTTTAATCTGTTTTCCTAAGAATCCTGAGACTCAAATGGATTGAGCAACTGCCCAGAGTCTCAAGATTCATAACCAGTCTAGTTTAGAGGAATTGATCATACACATGTAGGCAGCAAATGTCTGGAGAAGATCTTTGGCTGACAGCATCACTCTTTGCTAATGTCTGCCTGTGCTTACCATGCCATTTAGAACCTCTCATGTCACCTCAGAAGCTGAGCTATATGAAGTACCACCTGCACTGAGGGTGGTGCATGCCTGTCAGTCCAAGCTACATGGGAGACTGAGATTGGGAGGATTGTGGTTCTAGGCTAGCTTGGGCAAAAAAGTTTGAGACCTCATCTCAACTGAGAAAAAGCTGAGTGTGGTGACACATGCCTGTTATCCAGGTTATAGGGGAAGGTCATGGTCCAGGCCAGCCTGGAAAAAACAAGACCCTATCTCCAAAATACCCAGTGGAAAAAGGACTGGAATTGTGGCTCAAGCAGTTAAGCCTGCCTAGAAACCCTGAGTTGAAATCTCAGTACTCCCCTCAAAAAATACCACTTAGTTTTCATGCTCTCCCCATTTCATATCACATCTTTGAAATGATCACAACTGTTTCTTTCTCTTTAAGGTTGTCCCCCAAGTATGTGGGACATGGTACCTGTTCAGCTGTGTGGCTGAGTTCTGTGGCTATGTCGCAGCCTGAGTTCCCCAGGCCTACCACGAGGACTCGCTTCCCCTTCCATGTTCCTGGTTCCTTATAGTCTCTGCTGTGGATGCATTGGCCTTTGAAATGTTTTAGTCCTGAGTGAAAAGTGGGGAGCACATGAATCAATTTGATTTCTATTAAAAAATAGAACAAATTTCTTTAACAGAGGTGGGCTTGTGGGTACCCACAATCATAAAAATAAGGAATTTTAGTGCTCCAAATATATTAAAGATAACAGAAATACATTTTAATTGACCTGGGTGTACTTTTATTTTAAAGAAAGACCATGGCATGGTTTAGGTATGGTTTGAGTGTCCCCCCAAAAGTCCATGTTCTGGAAGCTTGGTCACCAGCATGGTAGTGATGGGATACATATATACACTTTCAAGAGCGGGGCCTAGTAAAGGTCATGTGATCATTGAGACCATCTCTGCCAGAAGAGATTAATGCTGATCTGGTAGAGTGATTTAATTCCATGACAGCAGGTTGTTATAAAGAACAGCAACCCTGGGCTCTGAATCCCTCTGGCTTCCTATCATACCATGTAATCTCCCCCTCTGCACATGAATGGTTCCTTTCCATTTCTCCACCATGTTGTGATACAGCCAAGGGACCCTTGCTAGAATGGCAGCACCATGCTGTTTGGACCTTCCAACCCCCTCTTAATTGTGAGTCAAATAAGCCTCTTTACTTCATAATGTATCCAGGCTTAGGTATTCTGTTATAGTAACACAAAAGAGACTAATACAGAAGTTATCCAGATATTCATTCCTGACAGATGTGTAGATGGCAGCCTAAATTTCAGCCTTACCTGGAAAGGACTCTTTTGGTAGATTGGGGTATACATGATGCCCAGAACAAACCATTACAGCATCAAAGACAACCGATTCTTTTTTACCATTCTTTTCAGTGGTAATATCCCATTGGCCAGTAACTGAGAAATCAGGACGTTTATTTATACTGGATACAAGTGTCTAAGAGAAATACAGAAAGAAAGTCTTATTTTCTTTGCTAATAGGTGATTTAACTTAAGAAAAATACTTAATTCATTAGTAAGTTACCTCGTATGTATTCAAAATTCCCTCAGAATAGATCAAATGTTATATTATTTGAAATTCTATATTGCTTATACATGAATCAAAACATTACATTACACATATACACATTTTATTCTTGCATAGTTCCTTGTGCATGTCTAGCATTTCCTGCTGTGGCATCCCTTTGAAACATGACACTGAGCTCAATCATAGCTTATAAGAGGTGCTACGACATACAAGTAATTTGGTTGCCAATAATTTTTTAATGACAGCCACTTCCTAATTTATCTCTCTAGTCATCTCACTTTTTAAAGTTGTTGCTATATTAAAATGAAAGAATCAATATTATTTTTCTTAAATTTTGTTGCATATAAGAATCACCTGGAAAGCTTATTATGGTGTAAACTCTGGGGTCCCACTTCCAGATGTGCTGGTTCAGTAGCCTGGGGTAGGGTATGGAAATATAAAATCCCAAACAAACACCCAGGGGATAATTGCTATCTAGACTGTATGCTGAGTAGTACTGGCCTGGATTTTCAATAAACATTTATTTATGGCTAAATGCATGCCTGTTGGTCTGCTTCTTCTTTAAAAATGTCTTTCAGTTCTGGTTATATTGGACAGAGAATCATTACTTGCTATTAATTGTTAAAAATTGTATTATGTAGTATTTAATATATATTAGAGGATACATACATATGTATGACATTTAATGAAATATAACAATAAAATAAGCACTTATGAGTCCATAAACTCTTGCACATAATTTATTTAGAATAACTCTGGCATTATTTATACTATTATAAATTACACCTTTTTGGGTAGTAGTTTCTGTTTTGTTGTTGGTTTGCAGAAATGTAATATATTTTTATATGTTGATTTTACAGTCATTTCCTTGTTTAACTTTTTTCATATTATTAATTCTAATAATTTATTGATTCTTTTGTGTTTATTATAGTAGTAAATTTGTATATTGATCATGTCCAGAACAAGTTCTAAGTAATTATCTTATCACTTTCTTTTGAGTTGTTGCTCTTTATTTTTCTTTACTTTCTGCATTGGTGCCTAAATTTAAGACTATCGACAAGAAGTAAAATAATTAAGAATCCTTTCCTTGTTCTGGATTTTAAAGGAAGTGCTTCCAACTTTTCACTCTTCAACATAACACTGTCCCATAGTGATATAATATGAGCAACATACATAATTTAAAATTTTATAATAGTTGAATTTAAAAGTGAAGAAACTATAATTTAACCCAATCTATCTGGTTTAGTACAGTTTCCATTGTTAGTGAAGTAGGTCACATTCTTTCTCTTTTTTCATAGTCAGACTTTGAAATCCAGTGTGTATTTTACACTAACAATACATCTCAATTTTCTGGCTAGTGGCTACCATATTGCACAGTACAGATTTATACAAAAAGTGTTTCTATTTTTTTTTCTTTTATTATTCATATGTGCATACAAGGCTTGGTTCATTTCTCCCCCCTGCCCCCACCCCCTCCCTTACCACCCACTCCGCCCCCTCCCTCTCCCCCCCTCAATACCCAGCAGAAACTATTTTGCCCTTATCTCTAATTTTGTTGTAGAGAGAGTATAAGCAATAATAGGAAGGAACAAGGGGTTTTGCTGGTTGAGATAAGGATAGCTATACAGGGCATTGACTTACATTGATTTCCTGTGCGTGGGTGTTACCTTCTAGGTTAATTCTTTTTTGATCTAACCCAAAAAGTGTTTCTAGATGTCTTGCTGCATCAGGAAAGTTCCCTTTTAATCTTAGTTTATTTAGGGTTTCACCTTTTTTTTCTTTCAAACATGAATGGGTACTAAATTTAAGTTAGGCCTTTTCTGAATTCGTTGAATTAAAATATTGCTTTCTTTTTGGTGACAGGTTTTATGGTAAGTTATGTGCTTATATTTTGTATTATTAAAATATTTTTGCATTCTTAGGAAAACTCAATTCAATAAAGGCTGTTGGTTGGTTGGATTCATTTTTGAAGGAATTTTGGACTGATTTTCATGAGGGAGACTGGCCCAGAATGTTCCCATTTTATACTATTGTCCTATCTTCTTTTGACATTAAGGTTATAATGTAGAATGAATTTGGAAATTATACCTCATTCTCTAGTGTCTGTGTTTATAATAAATATTGGAAGTATTTGTTCATTGCAAATTTGGAAGTACTTACCTATGGAACTGCTTATTTTCTTAATAGGAAGGTTTTTAATGTCTAAATCAAAAGAATGAAACATCATTCAAGAGTCTTTCTTTTTCTTGAGTACATCTTGGAAATTATTTTAATTTTTAAAAATTTATCCAACTTAAAATGATATTTGGCAAATACTTTTGTAACATTTAAAATTTTTATCTGCAACCAATGAGTGTCTGTTCACTCATTTCCAATACTAATTATCTGTGTCTTTGCTCGTTTTTCTTAAACTGCCAGCTATTTATCTATTGTTTATTTTACTAACATTTTCAAAGAATGAACTTTGGATTTTATTTTCTATTTACTTAATTTCTTTTTTATCTTCTTCATTCTTATTCTTTGTGTTCATTCTGATTTTGTTTTACAAATTTCTTAATCTTATTTACCTTATTTCTTTTAAATCTTACTCATTTTCTTTTGTAAGCATTTAAGTTTATAATTTCACACAAAACTACTAATATATACAGTCTAAATTAATATCAGTTCTAAATATTTTAAAATTTCCATTAAATTTCTTTTTGAATCCTGTGTTATTTAGACAAAAAGAGCTTTTACTTTCCAAAGTTGTAGATATTTTGCATTTATTTCTTTGTTTGGTGCCATTATGGCCCAAGTACTGTATACGGTCATGCTTTGTGAATTTCCTGTGGATTCTTGAAATGAAACTATATTCTCTAAATCTAGGATTAGAGAAGTCACACTGTTAAAAACATTGGCAAATAAGAAAGGAATGCTGAAAGGAAAACCTGGGAACAGAACAGCAGGTACTGACATCCTCATTGTTATGCCTACACTGGCTCTTGATAACATCTTACCTCAAATTGTATGTATTTCAGAAGGTTCTTGTCTCTGGCGAAGGCAATGATGTACTCCTGGAGCTTACTGTTGTGCATAAAGTTGGGAAAGTCTTCGGGATATGGGAAGTCTGGAAAGCACATCATCTCTTTGGAGGAGTTGGTAAAGACTGATTGGTAAATGCTAGCCCTGCCCTCCTCTGCATGGTCCTGTGAATGAATAGTTTCAAATGGAAGAAAATTGGTGAATGGGTATTATTGATCATGTTTAGCACCAGTTATAAGTAATTGTGTTGATTTCAGTTGGCCTTTATTTGCAAGTAAGTTTAGTAAGATGATACTTAAGTAAACTAGCTTTACTCAAACAATTGATGCTGGGCTGGTGGAGTGGCTCAAGCGGTAAGAGCGCCTGTCTAGCAAACATGAAGCCTTGAGTTCAAACCCCAGTGATGCTAAAGCAAAATGATTGATACTAATCAGAGAAACTTATGAAGGGAATTTATAATGTGGCGAAATAATTCTTTTCACATGTTTTCTTTTCTAAAGGAAACAATTTCTTTTCTTTCTTTTTTTTTGATATTGGAGATTAAGATTGAACTCATGGTCTATCTCTTGCATTCTACCTCTTTTGCCTTTAGTTTGTTTTTTAGATATGGTCCCACACTAACTTTGCTTGAGCTGGCCTCCAACCACAATCCTGCTACATCCACTTCCCAAGTAGTTGGGGCCACATGCATGCACCATCAGGCCTGGCTTGTTTTTGAGATAGGCTCTCATTAACTTTTGCCCAGGTTTGCCTCAAACAGCTATCTTCCTGTCTTTGCTTCTCCAATAGCTGGAAATACAAGTATGCACCACTACACCTGGCCTGGGAAGCAGTTTCTTTATTTCCTTTTAGAAATATGCATCTAAAACTCTTTTATTCCCTTAACCCATTAAATATAGTGATGGATGTCTTCCAAAGTTCAACCTTGCATGATTTCAATGTATTACTATATGAGCATTTAGTTGTCAGTTTGTAAAACGAACAATGACAGGTGATTGCCAACTATTTATAAGCTTTGTAAATGTGAGCATTACCGTTTAAAAGTAAGCTTAGAACTTCTACCATATATAAAGTAATGTAACTCTTCTGAATCAAGCGCTTTGAATTTAAAGGCATTAGATGCTTTTGAATATTTAGATAGGTAAAAAAGTTTTAACTTTCAGACATGTGAATTGGTTATACTAACTCTGATAAGCTGTAAAATCATGCTAATAGCATGTAACTCAAATCTGCCAGGAACTCCAGAATACGAATTTTTAGTATAACATTGGAATATTGCAGTCATGACAAAAGGCAGCGTGGTTGCAGCTTGATTATGACAAGTAATTGAGCAGCAGATTAGTTAACATGTTTATTTCAGAAAGCATTGTGGTTTTGAAATAGGGCATGTGTTTTAGGCTGCTCACAGTGGTTTCTAGACTCTTCCAGGGTGCATGTGGGATGGAGAGACATAGTAGGAGCTTGTAGCTTTTGGTGATTTTAGGAAGTCTGACAGAAATAATAGGCAGTACAAGGAGAGAGGAGACATTAAGGAATACATTGGTACAGATGGAGCATCTCAACTTTAAAATCCAAAATCTAAATTACTTTAAAATCTGAAACTTTTTGAGTACTAGTATGATACCACAAGTAGAAAATCCTACACCTGGCCTCATGTGATAGGTCACAGTCAAAACATAAGTGCACTAAAAGTATTGTATACAATTACCCTCAGACTATGTGTATAAGGTATACACATGAAGGAAACACATTTTGTTTAGACTTTGGTCTCATCCTCACGATATCTTATTATGTGTATATAAGTGTTCCAAATTCTGAAAAATCCAAAATCTGAAGCAAGCATTTCAGATAATAGTTATTGAACCTCTATAAAGATAGAAAAACCCAAAGAAAGTTTTGAAAATGTTGCTATGCAGGAAAAAGAGCCTTATCCATAAAATTTCTTGCTGAAATTCCTATAATTTACTGATTCATTGTTTGGAGAGCTGCTAGGACAGAAAGACATTCTGCCTAGACTTGTATCCTATCATAAAGTGTTGTATTTTCTCTGTGATCAATGCAGGAGAGGGAAATATGTCATTCTGGCTTTCAACAAAGATTGGAAGTATGAACAAGAAGGGGATAGAAAAGTGCTCTAGGAAGTGGCTACAAAAATGTAAACCATCTGAACCCCTAGGTTCTCACATTTAAGTAACGTTTGGCTCTTATTAATGTTTCATCAGAGATGAATTCTGTACATAAACAGACTTTCAAAGTAAGCCTGTTGCCTGACTTACTTCTAACTTGCAAGGAGGTTATTTTCCAACCTGCTCCTGATGCTGTGCTTTGTGGGTTTCCAGCCTGGGAGGATCACAGCTGCCAAAGCAACAGGTGTAGAAGCTATACTCAAGCAGCATGTTGTTCATCCCTGTCCCTTCCCATGATGCTCTACTCACTGAGAATTTCCACAGGCCCCCTATGTGATTGCTCCTCTCAAAGCAGATGGGCTCCAACCCCTCCTCCAGACAGCTCCTGATGGAAGCCAGGCCACTGATGCCAGCTCCGATGATGGCCACTTTCTTGCCCATGGTTGCCTGTGCAAAGACCAAGAGAACATTTCCAGCAACAGTATTGCTGACAAATTATTTTGGTATTGATTTTTGGTTTAATAAGAAACTACTTTTGCACTGAAACAAAGCAATAGTTAAACAAATAGTTCAAAATTCCAACTAGTCATCAAATTACATTTTGCATGCTACTGATGTCAAGGAGAATGTTTTCTTCCAAAAATTAAAACATTTTGTTCTTAGTCAACCTTTCAAAATTAAGAGATGAACAACTTAATCAGTTATATACCCACCGCATACACTTACATATATATATATATATATATATATATATATATATATGAACAAACAAATAGATGTGTGCATGTGTGCGTGTATGATATAATGGTTCCTAAGTGTCTGTGGTGGATTGGTTCCAGGATTCCACATGGACACCAAAATCTGCAGGTGTTTGAGTCTCTTCTACAAAGTTGTCTAATATTTTTATCTTACCCACATCCTCTATATATATTTTTCCTTTTTTATTCTTTTTTGGTAGTACTGGGGTTTGATCTCAGGACCTTCGCCTTGCTAGGCAAGTACTCCACTTAGTTGAGTCATACCCACAGCCCTGTTTGCTTTAATTTATTTTTCAGATCGAGTCTCTTGCTTTTGCCTGGGGCTAGCCTCAGACCTTGATCCTGCTACCTTTGCCCTCCTCCTAGCTGTGATTACAGGTATGAGCCATCATGCGTGGCTTTTTTTTGGTAGGACTGGGGTTTGAACTCAGGGCTTCAAGCTTGCAAAGCTGGCACTCTACCACTTGAGTCACACCTCCAGTCCATTTTGCTCTGGTTATTTTGGAGACGGGGGTCTCAAGAACTATTTTCTTGGGCTGACCTCGAACCACTATCTTCTTGATCTAAGCCTCCCAAGTAGCTATGATTCCAGGCATGAGCCATAGGGGCCTGGCTGCCTGGCTTGGTTTTGAATAGGGTCTTACTCAGTCTTTTGCCCAGGCTGGCCTTGAGCCATGGTCCTCCTATCTTTACTTCCCATGTAGCTGGCATTATAGTGTGAACTGCTATATCTGGCTCCTCCTGTATACTTGAAGTCACCTCTGGATTACTTATGATGCATAATATAATGTAAACACTATGTAGACAGTTCTGTATTGTTTAGCATAAAATGACAAGAAAAAGACTATGTACTCAGTACAAATGCAATTTTGTAAGCCTAACTGCATTTCTCACTTGTGATGGTTGGTTGAATCCTCAGATGTGGAATCTGTGATTCTGAGGGACAACTCTCCACACACACATATGCACACATTTATATCTCTATTCAACCTGATGTAAGACTAGGAATGTCTATATTTCAATATGCCAGGAGGTCACTCCCTTTCTTTCCTTAATGAAAATCAAGTCATTACCTTAAAAGAATTTCTTCCCAATAGCTGCCACCTTCAATCTCCATTCTTTTCCAGGAAAATTATAGCTCCTAATCTTTTCCTGTTCCTGATACTATCTTTACACTTCACTACTACTTTTCTATCTTTTTTCTTTTTATATAGTCACATAGCAATGCAAAATTTAGAAAAAGAAAGAAAAGACTCACATGCTAGGAATTATGATTTATGATTCTCAGTTTAAAAAAAAGTTCCTGAATTATATGTCATTCCCATTGCAGTCACATTTAGTATAAAAACTACAGCATGCTCCTTCCCCATTTATCAACCTGACCCTCCTCCCTCTGAGCTCTTTGCAATATTCTTCATCTTTTATTTTCTACCTTTTCTTTGTTGTCCTTTCTTTCTTCAATGTGTCTTAGTCCTGTCTGAGTCTTCTGGGAAGTTTGAAACAGAAAATGCTGAACTGAACTCACATCTGAAGTGGGTTCTTGGAGAAGGGAGGAGCTTCTCTTAAAGAGATAGTCATTTCTTGGTTCTCTAATGAGTGAGCACACACCTTGCTCCCTGTGACAATGTGACTCTGGACCAAACTCTGGTCTTCCAGACCTGCCTTCCTGTTAGTCATGGTAAACACAGTCTGCAGTACATTGCGAGGTCCTTGACTGGGAGCCAGAATCTCTCCCAGGTGACTTTGTAGTGCACCACTCCATTTCATTACATGTTATTTCAAAATTTACCTTATTTTCCATATTCCTGATTCTTTTGTGCATAGTGCATCATAGCCCTCAAATACTGTAGAAAATTAAGTACCTTTTTGAAACAGCCCAACCACAAAGATGGCTTTTCTGTTCAGTTAAAACCATTTTTGGGTTGCAAGTTGCACAAAAACAAGAGAGACTAGAGTTAGCTGTAGTTTTACCTCTCCTTTAGAGAAATCACACTATTCAAGTGAATCATTGCTCAGACTGTTGAGGGTCTCCTGTGAGGTGATCTTGCTTAAAAACTTCAAAGTAAGAGCTTGCAATTGTGTTTAAAGGAATTTCATAGGAATTTCCAAATGAATATGCCTCTTGTTAATTCATTTTACTTTCCTGATGGTTCTCCCTCTAGTGGGTAAAAGTAGTCACTGCACTCCTGTTTGCTCAAAAAACGAAAAGGCACAATTACCCTGCCAAAATGAGATGGGGGTGGTCAGAGCTATGGGAGGGTGTTCTACTTGGGGTATCAGGAAGCCAAAAGAATCAAGTCAACCTCTTTATTTATTATTTGTCATTTGAATAATTCCAAGTTTAAAAATCCAAAAGGTATTCAGTACAGTTTATCTTTATTGCCATATAATAGTTGTACAGGGGAATGCATCGTGACATTGACATATGTGCTTACAGTATGTCTTAGTTAGATTTATCCCTTCCATCACTCTCCTTTATCTGTCCTTCTCTCTTAGAAAAGTTAATGGGTTTCATTGTTCCATTTTCATACATGCTTACAAAATACAATTATTATATTCATGCTCCTTCACCCATTCCTTATGCCCACCCCTTCCCACCAGTTCCCATCCTTAGAAAGGATATGTTTTACTTTCTTGTCCTTTAAAAAATATATGCATTTTTAAAAGTGTATATCGATAGTTCAAGGGGCTTTTGCCTTGGTATTTCACACATGTATGTATTGTGCCAAACTCTTTAGAAAACTGTAAGGATCAAGCTGGCAAATTCAAGCTGAGCCACCAATCCCCAAAGCAGGAGAAAACTTAAGGATACAGCAGTAGATACAAATGCAACTGAATAGAAAGGGATTGTGGACAAAGGGAGAAGGGCTAGGAATTAATACTACTGAGTGAAGTCTTTACATATTGCTTTTAATGGTGAACTTGTATGTGAGACTTGAGTGCAGTGTCCTGGCTAAAAGATATGAGAAGTAACCTCACTATTCTAAGTATTTGTTTGAGGGAGATAGTAGGTTAGGCAACATATTCATCAGACATAGTAGGTAAATAATGGAGCAAAATTTATTAAAAGTTCAGAGGGAACTTGATTTGAAAATGCATTAAAACTTTCAGTGGAAAAATTTGGAAGAACTCTTAGAATCATTCTGCTTGAATATACATACACATTTGCATACATAAATTCATAGACTAAATATTACACCATCAGTAAATGGTGCTATATAATATGTATATTATCACAATAATATAAAATATATCTTTCATCTTTGAAATTGAGTATATACATTTAAAATATATCTAGGAGATATTTAAAAACTTGATCAGGTACTCAATTTTAAACAAGGCCATAGTACATTTTAAAAAGCAATTTTTATAGACTCTTTTAATCTAATAAATGTATCTTTGACTAGATCCTTTATTCAAAGACTCGTATTTCTTAATAACTGAGAAGCAGTTCATTCAAAGGAGGCTCAGTAATCATTTCTGAACTTTGAACAAGAGTTGCTATTGAGCTCTTGCAATGATAACTAACTAAAGAAGAGAAAGAGACACATGGGCAGCATGAGAATATAGTTGAATACAAAATAAAGACCAAATAAAACCTACCTGATTTATTAAGAAATCACTTTTGTTTCCAAAGGGAAATTAATTACACCAGCAAGTAGAAATACACACCTTCCATTTTAGCTGAAACAGTTGGTCAAGTTGTGTTCAAACTAACTTTACCCTGGTGGCACAACATTCTTTGTCTTGTGGCATTGGCATGTCAGATTGTGTTAAATTATTCTGAACATTTTTCCTATTAAGTGGTGCCAAATGCTTTTACTTGGATGGTGGCTGTAGAGGGTCCTGCTGTATAACAAATCAGCTTATATATTCATGTGTTAAAGTCTGAAGCTTAAAGTCTGAAGCAAGCACTGTTGAGAGAGTGCTGCAAGTCTGCAAGGTTGCAAGGGTGACTTGCCCTTTGTATCTTCCTGCAGGTCAGCAATGGCACTGAGACCAGTGACTACACCACTCCACTGGAAACATTATCAACACATCTAGTCTTCTCAGTCTCTCTTCTGCATTTTAAGAGAGAAGCACAGACTGCCTTTTCTTCAAACTTTATTGAGGCATAACCAACAAATAAAAGTTGCATATATTTAATGGTGCACAATATGAATTTTTTGGTGCTAGAGATTGTATAATGTCATTTTTATACAGGTATACATGGTAGCTATATATTGAAAATGCTTAACACAATCAAGTTAATGAACCTGACATAGTTTTTGTTTCTTGTGGTCAGAACACTTAAGATCTGCTCTTTTTTAGCAAGTTTCAAGTCTATTATACTGTAGTAACTGTGGTCCCTGTCTTGGTATATTTATGCTGCTATTACAAAACATATGAGATTGGGTAATTAAAGCAATAGACATGTATTTCTCATAATTCTGGGGTCTGGCAAGGCCAAGACCAAGAAGTTGGCAAGTTTAGTGTCTGATGAGGGTTTGTCCTGTTGCAGGAATCTCAAGCTGAGATATGAGACACTGAGGCAATTAGCAGGAAGCAACATTTTATTGTGCCAGCACAGACTCAGTGGACTCGTGTTCAAAGGCTGAGCCCTGAGAACAAAGGGGTTTCACCTTATATACCCTTGCAAGCAGGTTACAGAAGCAAAAAGCAAAGCTTAACCCATATATAGTTGTATGTAACTTTATTGGGTATTTCATTTTTTTCAGTGTTATGTGACCTTTTTTTGTTTTAATTCTTTAAGTTTTCTCTGCTATGTCATCCCTTCTCCCTGTTATGTTATCAGAACACAAACTTGTCTGTTTCTTTTTTGGTCCTTTTTCCTCTTACAGTTCCTCACAGATGCCTGATCTTGGTGACCTCACATGGTGGAAAAGATAGAAAAGTAATAGAAAGTTCTTGCTAGTGCCCTCCAGTTCTTTTAAGAAAGCATTTAAAATGTTTTTAATTCATAAATAACAATTTTACATATTTATGGAGTACAACATGATGTTTAAATACACATTATATAACGATCACAATGAAAGATTATTTAGCATGTCCATCTCCTCCTACATTTATCATTTCTTTGTTTTGAGAACCTTCAAAAGTCACTCTTCTTGCTGTTTGGAAATATTCAGTACAATACTGACAACCAGAGTTTCCTTACTGTGCAGTATAACACCAGAATTCATTTCTCCTGCCATACTGTAAATTGCTAATTTCTTCCTATTGTCCTCTTCCCACTAAACTTCCTGGCTTCTGGCAGGAACTTTTTAAGAGGTGGAGCCTACCATGAGGTGATTGAATTGCTGGCACTTCTGCCTTCAGAAGGGATCAGCATAGCTCTCATGGGACCCTGGTTCTCACAAGAGAGTTATTGTAAAAACACAAGTGTGACCCTTTCCCACTCTGGCTTTTTGCCTTGTATGTGACCTCTCCCTCTTGGTTGTGTTCAAACCAGGATGCTATCTGCCATGTGGCACAGCCAAGGTGGGGGGGGGCCTTACCAGAGCCAATGGAGTGTCAGCACCATGTTCTGGAACCTCAAGATGGTGAGATAAGTAAACCACTTTTCCTATATTATCCAGTAGCAATAGAAAATGGACGCACAATGACTGTACTAATTTACATTCCTTCCAGTAGTGTAGAAATGCTCCCCTTTCTACACAGCCGCATGAGCACTTCGTTTATTTGATAGTAGCCATCTTAATTGAGATAATGTGATGCCTTATGTGACATATACCTATTACCTATTTGTATGTCTTCTTTTATAAAAAGTCTATTACAGTCTTTTATCCACTTTTTTATGGTACTGGGACTTGAACTCAGGTCTACACCTTGAACTACTTACTCCACCATTCCTTTTTTGTGATGGGTTTTTTCTAGACAGGGTCTGGCGAACTATTTGTCTGTGCTGGTTTCAAACCAAGATCCTCCTGATCTCTGCTTCCTGAATAGCTAGGATTGCAGATGTGAGCCACTTTTGTCTGTTTTTAATGAGATTATTATTATCTTACTATTTTGTGCTGTTTGAGGTCCTTATATATTCTGTATATTTATTTCTCAAGGACAGCTTAGCTGAATAAAATATTATTGTTGGGCAGGATTTCTCCTTCAGTATTTTAATACATCATCTTACTCTCTCCTGGTTTGTAAGGTTTCTGCTGAGAAGTTGGTTGATCGTTTTATTGGCACACCTTTATATGTAATGTTTTTCTTACCTCTTGCTGCTGTCAGAATCTTTTTCTTTTCCTTTAATTTTGATAGTTTGATTATTATATATCTTGGCATACTTTTTTAATTTAACTTGAATGGAGACCTCTGGGTATGAGACTCTATCCCCAAACACGGGATGTTTTCAGCCATTATTTCTCTTTTGGAGGTACTGGGGATTGAATGCAGGGCTTTGCACTTACTAGGGAGGTGTTCTACTCTTGAGTCATGCCTTCAGCACTTTTTGCTTTGGTTATTTGGAGTTAAGGTCTAGCTTTTCCCTCA